TGGAGTCAATGGCTGACGGGGATTGTTTCTAGAGAATCTTTGACAAATTTCACAGGTTGAAACGAAATTTTCAACATCTGTCATTATTCGTGGCCAAAATATAGCTTCTCGAGCCATATTCTGGCAAGAATTAATACCTTGGTGTGCTTTGTGTAAAATTTTCAAAAATTCAGGTCTCAATGAATGAGGAATTATAATACGTTTTTTATAAAATAGAACATCATCATGCAAATATATATCATTCCGAATGGCCCAATATTTTTTAATTTCATTATTCAAATTAGATTTATGGACAGGCCAACCATTAACAACATATTTTTTTATGATTTGTAGGTCAGAATCACTTTCAGTTTCCCTGATCATTTTATCAATATTATTCTTTGAAGTTGTGATTACCGAATATACCTTTAGATTTGAATCAATATTATCTGTATTTATGTAACTATCATTTGGGCTCCTACTGAGTGTATCAGCTACTTGTAATTTTTTCCCTGGCACATAAATTAATTGCACATCATATCTCAATAATCTCATCATGAGCCTCTGCAATCGTGGTGATAAATTTTCTAAAGGTTTTTTCGCCAACCCTACTAATGGTTGGTGATCTGTTTGCACTTGAAAAGATCTTCCAAATAAGTAAAAATTGAACCTTTCACAACCAAATACAATTGCCAACAATTCTTTCTCGATTTGACTATATTTTTGTTGCGTAGAATTGAGAGAAACAGATGCGAATTCAATTGGATGCCCTTCTTGCATTATTACTGCGCCCAATCCATATTGACTAGCATCTACTGATAAAATAACCGGTAAAGAAGGATCAAAATAGCTCAAAACTGGAGTTGAAGTTATAATATGCTTCAATTCTTGAAAACATTTATCCTCATTACTATCCCAGATCCAGACATTTTTCTCACTTAATAACCTCCTCAAAGGAGAAGTTTTTTCGGATATGTTAGGTAAAAATTTTGCGAGATATGTAATCATGCCGAGAAATTTTTGTAGCTCATTTTTATTCTTTGGTGGAGTCATTTCATGGATAGCTTTGATTTTGTCTGCATCTGCAGTTATACCTTTTTCATTTATAATGTGACCTAAGAACTTCACCTCTCGGATGGCAAATTTGGATTTTTCTTTATTCAATGTTAAACCAGAAGATGAAATTCGTTCTAGAACTTCTCGAAGATTCTTGTTATGTTCTTCTATATTTTTACCAAAAACTAAAATGTCATCAAAATATATGAGAACCCCAGTAACTCCATCGAGAATATTTGTAATTATTCTTTGAAAAACTTCTGGTGCATTACATAGCCCGAAAGGCATTCTCAAATATTTATATCTACCAAATGGAGTAGCAATGGTACATAGTTTTGAACTTTTTTCATCTAGAGGAATCTGTAGAAATGCAGAGGAGGCATCAAGTATTGAGTATATAGTAGACCCATTTAGTCTGGAGAATAAATCGTCAAAATTAGGAATTTGAAAGTATTCCCTCTTTATATATACATTCAAAGCTCTCGGATCCATACAAATCCTCACATCACCATTAGGTTTCGTATTGACGACAATTGGATGAACCCAATTTGTAGGCTCCACAATTTTTTCAATAAGTTTCTGAGATTCCATCTCATTTAGTTTCAGACGAACTTTCTCTCTTAAAGCTTCAGGTATTTTTCTAGCCGCATACATTTTCGGAACAGCATCATCTGATAATATAATTTTACACTCTGTATTAACTTTTCCGATTCCATTAAAAATACTTTTGAAATGAGAAATAATTTCGTCAGTTTCACTAACATTTATTTGATATATCTTATTTTTGATAAGTTTCAAATCTATAGCCCCAGATAAACTTAGAATTGATTGTGAAATATTATTCGAAATAACATGGAATGGAAGTATTTTTGCTATATCATTATATTTACAATTTACAAATATTATTCCATTCGTATTTATCTCATGTCCTGAATATGGAGTTAATGAAGTATTCGTTTTAATTATTTTATCTTTGTAATCAATAGTTTTAAAATCAGTGTAATTGAGAATATTGACTTCACTTCCCGTATCTATTTTCAGTTTTATAACTGAATTATTAATATTAATTCTTTCCACCCATTCGATAGTATTCACATTTCCTCCAAAAACAGACCATACAAAGTTTTGTTCATCATATACTTGATCAGAACTATCAGAAGTCTCGGTGTTATTTTGTAATTCAGAAATTTCATGAACTTTTTTATTTTTATTACAAAATTTGAAATAATGTCCCTTCAAGCCACATTTATTACATATTCTATAAAATGCAGGACATCGGTTTGGGATATGATCAGTTCCACAATTTAAACAACCTATTTTCCTATTATTCGCATATGATGAACTAGGTTTTGTTGAAATATTGTTTGAAATCAAATTGATTCTACCTGAGTTAGTGTTAATGATATTTTGAGTAGTCACACTTGTTTCAAGGCTTCTACAAATACTCACAGCATCTTGTAGTGTGAGATCTGATTTTTGTAATAATACACTCTGTGTTTTTTTATCAAAAATTCCTAGAACAATCCTGTCTCTCAATAAAATGTCTCTATCTTTGAATTCACATGAAGATATCAAAGTTTTGAGATCAATTAAGAAGTCATCGAATGTTTCTGTTGAATTTTGATAACGGCTGAAGAATCTAAAGTGTGAAAGAACAAGGTTCTTCATAGGATTACAATAGTTTCTGAATTTTTTTATAACTATGTCAAAAATGTTATTACTCTCACCTTCGTCATATTCAAACGTATTAAATATTCGCAACCCTTCATCACCAATCAAGTTTAATAAGATTGCTACTTTTACATCATCGGGCTTTTTATCAGACCCACTTGCTTTCATGTAGATTTCCAACCTTTGGTACCATAACTTCCATTTCTCCGAAATATTTTCGTTGAATTCCATTGCAGGAATAGATTTTGCTGAATGTTTCATCTTTCTTTATCTTCGTTCAGAAGCGTAGGACTTTAAAAGCTGCCACCATGTAAAGATATCAAAGATATTCTCAGATAATAATTTGATAGATGAGTAGAATATTGAGTGAAGTTTTATTCTGTAAGTTATTAATTATAAAAGTCATGACAACAACAACTAGTATATACTGAGTATATATCACAATGTCTATGTCATAAATGTCATTGACTGATAACCTTTAAATTTTTTTTAATGAAATTACTAATTATTAGGGTCCCTTGATGGACATTGAAGTTAAAGTCATCTAACAGGGTACGGACAGATCATAGCTGCATTCTTTTTTAATGATCTAGAGACTTCAGTTTTGTCTACTGGCATCCCTGACACTGCTGTCACCTCACATCCATGGGCGCTACAGAAAATCATTCTAAATTTCAATAATAGGTATGTACAGGGTATTCACTTGTTGAGGAAGATCATATTGCAAACGAGTTTTGTAATTATGATCCGGTTCTATTCAAAATTGGAAGATATCTGGGGTTTTTCGGGGTTGGAGATAATGATTGTTTCGTCAAACTTGGAAAATTCAAGATGACGGATCCAATATATAGCGAAAGAAATTTCTAATTATGATCTGATTCTATTTAAGATTAATATCTGAGGGTTTTCGGGGTCGAACTTTATGATTAGTGAAGATTGGGAAATTCAAGATAGCGGATCCAATAAAAATCAAAATTGGTATCTGGGGATTTCCGGGATCGGAGATTATAATTATTTCGTCAGAATTGGGATATTGAAGATGGCGGATCCAATATGGTGGATTGTTTTGTAATGAAGATCCGATTCTATTTAAAACTGGTGTCTGGGGGTATTCGGGGTAGGAGATAATGATTGTATCGTAAAAATTGGGAAATTCAAGATGACGGATCCAATATGGCAAAAGACATTATTTTATATAATTATTACTCTACCACAAATAGAAAATATGTAGGATGCAAGAGTGAAAATAGCGTGCCTATAAGTTATACTGCGCATACCTACTTCTTTGTTACTTTCATCAATAAATTATTCGAAAATGACTTTTTATTCAAGGGAGACGAAAAAATGAAGTGAAGTATATTCTTTTCTTTATTTTACTACATATTTTACGTATCTATTTTAATCAGCCTACTTTTCGTCCTAGACGAAGTTTTGTACATAGTGTGATATTAGTAACTCCATAAATTCTTCTCCGAGTTGGATTTCCGAAAATATGACATGAGTATACCTGCAGTAGTTTAGATACCCACATCGAGGTTTCCACCATTTCTCAATCATAAGGCTCTGCTCATTCAGCTCATAGAAAAACTACTGCTCAGCTTGAAATCAGAATTCATTTAGTCAATTCAGTCAACCCTGGTATACAGTCTAAGAACAGTCTCTTTTGGTGAAATACATTATAAGCTTTCAGTACAATTTATATGTTCCCTACCTCGCAGAGATTTATGCTGGAGTAGTAAACTCTAAAACTAGAGGATTGTTCATCTATATCTTGGTATAGTTGAATCAGGAATTCCATATGGAAATTACGTATGATACGCCAGTGTCCTCAATATAACCTAAAGAACAACGAATGTCAAAAATCTAGTGTTTATCCCCAGAATTGAATAAGGATGGAACTATATAACTGTTTCACAAACGCTTTAGAGTGAGAGGAGACGAGGATCTGTCCGTACCCTGTTTAGATGACTTTAACGTCAATTTCCATCATGGGACCCTACTAATTATATCATACTTATTTTGACATATTTTGTCAATATCGTTAATTTGACACTCTCCTGAATCCGAAAATAGTTCAGTGGCACAAACTAGATGTTGGACAAGGACAGATTTATCGGACCTTTCTATATTTCGATGCGACAACGTTGGTAGTATTGAAGAGAAAGATTGAAAAGAGCTCAATTGCGATAAAGTTCTTTAGGAACCACTCAATTTCGATTTTTAGAGTTGAATTAAATTAGGGTTGAAATTAAGTTGAATTAGGTCGTTCATGAGTCCATCTTCACTCATTCCAGCTACAACAATATCGGATTGGAAGTGTCTCTGGCGAAACCGACCCTCAGGGCGGAATTCGAGAACGACTTGAAGCAGATCTGCGACGGTGTGAAAGATGCCGAAACGGTCAGGCGAGAACAGATAGCCAGCTATCGCGCCGTCTTCCAGACGGTGGTCGACAAGATGCGGCTGATCGACGAGAGCTTGGCGAACAGGCTGGACGTCAGACCGGACGACGTTCCCCATGACATCAACGTCGCCAGCAATGACGGTTTCACGCCTGTTCTGAAGTGTCCCAAGTGCGGAAACGATATGGTACTCAGGTGAGCAGACATACGAACATTTTAATTGGCCTGTTTCAGTGTAAAATTTTATTTTATTATTTCGAAGCACTAACCCTGACCATTGTCGATCTAAATGAAAACCTAGTAGGTGACCTAGTGCGAGGAGGTATAATATTGTCTGTTCAGTGAATCGAAATATGTCTGTCTGTCAAGTGGCGCTGGGGAAGAGAAAATGGAAAGAGCTCATTTGTTTATGTCAAAATAGATATTAGGTTGATATTCTCTTCTTCTATTTTTTTCCAATATGTACTCAACCAGAGATGTGCTTTCCATCATTGACGTGATATTTGATACAAAGGCGATGAAGAAGATTCTTTCATGAGATTGAGATGTCATAATCAAAAAATTATTTGCTGACAGTTGTCATTAAATTATAACTTCGTCTTTGTGAATATGTTGAACTTTGAATTCGTATTCTTGAAAATTACAATTATTCCTAATTGTTTCTTCTAGTATTGGTTTTCTATTGCAGTTTGTTGATTGGTTTGTGAGTGCGATTGTGTTATTTTGCAATGTTATCTGAAAACTTCGCACTCCAGGAGGTGGAGGCGAGGGTGGAGGTGTAAAATTATCAAGACCTGGTTTCCCCTATCCCCACTGTTGTGAATTTGAGCCTCAAATCCTGAGGCATCAATGAGTTTATGCCATATTCATTGGATTGCAAGGTGCATTTTTTTTCTTGAATCGCATAATATTTGAAACTTGATGCATTGATATTTCAGAAATGGGAGTTTTTGAAGTGAGCGAACATGATACTGTATGTTTCCAACATTTTAAGGGAACTGTTTCTTGCCAATGAAGAATTGGAAACGGTTTTGGAAGGAGGGTTCGGTTCCAAGTTTGTTTGAGGAAGGTATATATAAATAAAATGATATTTAACAAGTTCCTACTTATACAATCTTTTTGTAGCAATCAGCTTATTAGTTTCTAGTTGACTAGAACTATTAGTTTCAGTATAAAAATTACCAAAAACTTGACTTTGGTACCTCTGAAAATTGTTCCATAGTCAATTGTCATTGAATTCATTTCAGAATGGTACATAACATTGAAACTGGGAAATATTTTTATAGTTTCAGACTCATCAATGTAGTTTGGAATATGATGCTGAAGAAGAACTCCTTCCTTAAGGAACACGACCTGAAGATGAAGAAGCATCTGACGGGGAAACGGGCATTTGAACAGATATTATAGAATGATAATAAATAATAATGGAGTTTATTGAAAATGTTGACATAATATAAATTAAAAAGATATACATATTGGTATTGAATATTCCTATGGTTCAATTTGTGGCAATTATAGACACATCTTCTCATATTTAGTGAAGTTAGTGGCTTCAATAAGATGATTTTATAAAAAATAATCATTGTTCAGCAGAACATATATTTAACCTATATACCTTTGGTACAATATATAAAGTGTTTTCAAACTTACCTGCCAATACATCTGTTCAACAATAAACAGGGTATCAGAGGAGAACAAATTAGTAGAATAAAATTTGCAATAATTCTTCATAATTATATTCAATTTATTAAAAAATATATAATTGTATTGCCATTCGTATACATATACAAGTTATTTTCCAATGAAATCATCATCCTTCTGGTATATTTCTTCTAAACATTACTCACATAATGATTCCTCATGTGATTCTTCCACATCAATTTGTTTGTATCACTCATAGTTTTTCGTTTTTCAACTAAAAAGCTATTCATGTAAGTACTCTTCGCTGTAGGTAGGTACCTGAAATTTTCAAGTATAGTGATTCGGATGTGTACATAGTTTACATCACTAAAGACATGTTTTCACTGCAAATAACGGAATTTCATGAATTATATAGTAACTTATCAAATATATAGAAGGAAATAGGCAGCCCCTACCTTTCTGCTTGGCTTTCATGTCGAAAAAGTGTGAAAGCACTGATGAGTTTCCGAAGTTTTCACAGTTCCAACTTAAATTCAAGTTGCATCATAAGTCAACCTAATACAGCATTGCCTAAACATCTCCCTGCTTCCATTCAAGTATAGGTAGATGGTTTTCATACTTGATAATATCTTTCGTGATAATGTTTCATTTTCGGGTTTCAACATGACAGATTTTTATTTACAAACTTGACAGGACCATGAAAAATGTTTGGGTTAGGAATAAAAAATGAATAACTTAGTTTACTTAGTTCACGTAGATGTCTCCGAACTACATATTTTCTTCATTTGTCTTTTCAATGAACAGACAATATTATAGCTCCTGCCTACTAACTACCTAACTAGGTTGTCATCTAGAACGACAATGCCCTGACTAATCTTTGGTAGAAGTCCATATTGATCAAAGATGGAGTGAAATATTCCAAAGGAAGGAAGGAGCATTTTTATCCGAGTATTTTTAGTGACATTTAATTGACGGATTTGGCTCGAAATTTGAATTTGAAGTTTTGATTTTAGTATTTTTATGATGAAAATTCTTGTAGATTATATGATTTTAGTAGGTATAATGTCTCATCTCGCATATTTCATACAAAATAATCCACAGGAAATGATGCTAAAGCAAATTTAAACACTATAGAGTAGGTGGTGAAAATTCAAATGATGAGGATAGAGTGGAAATTACAATAAAAAAAAAAGAATTCGAATCAGAAACATCAAAGAAGATACTGTGTTGTTGTGCTTTCAACTTTGATGTAGTCCTTCGCTTGTCTTCCTGGTACAAATATATTCTATATTATATACCGTACTTCATTTTCGGGATCATCTAGGTATTTCCCTGAGATACATTTCACTCACTGTTATGTATTTGATAAGGTTGAACAGATACATCAGTCATTGATGATGAAGAGATGATGATGATGAATCTTATAAGGTATTTACTGGTTACAAATCTGGCAGTGTCCAAATATATGGTACTACTTTTTATGCGAGAGCCAGAATTCGGTTCATGACATCATCGAGCCTGGCGTTTTTCGAAGTTGCCGATATTAATAATTGAAAAAAATATTTGCGATGATTTTAAATAACAAATGATTGCATCACATACTTTTATAACGTGTGTACGTGTGTTCAACCCCATTCTAAGGTAACATTCATTGTAATATATGTAAATCTTAAACTCAAAAGACGTCGTCTCAATAAACTTCGCCCACTTATCAAGGACCGATGACAATAGCATAATTCAATAGCTATCTTCCATTATCCTAATCAGAATCTTCAGGATGAGCGATGTTTTTTTACATCCAGTGTCTTACCTCAAACCCGTATCAAAATGCAAAAGTAAATAAGAATTGAAAAAAAAACTGAAAAACATGCTTGTTGTTTGAAATATGGATAGAATCAAATTATTCGATAGATCAAAGGAAGGTACGAGAAGCCTTTCTCTGGGGGCCTCTGGGAAACAGGGCGACATCTCAGAGTGAACAGCCTTAGCAGGGACTGGACTAACACCTTCCTCCGTCACTCGAAGGAGAAGGAAAACTTTTAGCTTTCTTCGTAGACGAGAACAGGGATCGGAAGAGTAATGTTCAGGAACCTAAACGAAAATTGTCTTTCATATTGACGTGACCTCAATATGAACCATGAGTCGTATATGGTAAAATTGATAACGGAATGTAGGTCATAAGAGGTCTAAGTGTCGTCGGAGACATCAGTCAGACGAGCTTAATAGGGGGGTGGAGTGTTTAGTGGGTATATCCTGAAGTCAGGAGACTCCCACACTAAATGGGGAATAAGACCCAGATGATGTCCATAAAGGATTTCAACCCCAACTTGACAAAAACAAATAAAGGCTTTATGAGGTGTTTCTGATATGAATACATACATTCTACATCGATATATGACAATTTGAATGATTAAACTGCGAATTTTGAAATGACTCTGCCGTTACTTGATGGACATCCATGTAAATGTAAAAGCTCCACAAACGATAAGATTTACACCAAAAAATCTTAAACACACAACATGTTTCGCTAACACAGTAGCTTTGTCAGGTGATATACTGGTACATTGTACATTGTACCAGTATATCACCTGACAATGTACAATGTACCAGTATATCACCTGACGAAGCTACTGAGTTAGCGAAACATGTTGTGTGTTTAAGAATTTTGTGGAAATCTTATCGTTTGTGAAGATTAAACTCCGCGTGATTGTACCTTCCCCACGAATATTTGAACAGAGATGACGTCAGAATTGATACACTGTAGAACTTTGGGTAGAAGAAAGGGGTCTCACCCCAAAATTTAATTTGTTCCCTTCATTTTTTTATTGGTGCCATTTGATCAGGGTTCGAAATATTTGCATTTCTTTCATTGTTACCCTATATAGCCTGAAGTATGGATATTCGCGGTCGTCAAGGTCATTGAATGACGTTGCGATGACATTGAAAACTACGAGAAAACATGTCTTACTTTCAATCTAACAGCGAATCCCATTGGCAGGAACTGGTGGAGTGATTCTGCATTCAATGTATGTTTCCTTCTTACTGGCATGTGTTGAACAGAGGTAAATATACACTCAGTGAAGAAACACTCCACCAGTTCCTTCCAATCGAATTCGCTATATGCCAGGAGTCAAGATGTTTTCCATCATTATTAAATGTCATTGCAACGTCATCTAATGACCTATGGCGACCGCGAATACTTATTTGTCTGAGGCCATGTAGGGTCCCTTGATGGAAATTGATGTTAAAGTCATCTGAACAGGGTACGGACAGATCCTCATCTCCTCATCAAGGGACCCTAAGGCACATGCACTACTGACGAGCTCTGATAGTGCGAAACAGCTGTCTGGCCTCTGACAGATAAACATATCCATGTCGTGTGGGATCTATTTTTGTTCCATCAATTCTGTCAAGAAAAAATGAAAATATCAAACAATACTTTTCAGGAACAAGAAAAATGGTCCAGGGCAGATGTTGACGTGCTTGGGATACCCCAATTGTAGAAATACAGTTTGGTTTCCTGCAGCAGTAGATAGAGTTGATGTACTGGATGATCCTTGCCCAAATGTGAGTTTTCTCATTCAAAGTTAATAATTTGAGCGTTCTACGACTCATTATTTACTTCTTCAATCATAATTGCTCATAAGACACAATAATATGCTTGTAGGAGTAATATATCATCATAGAATATATTTATTTTCAGTGTGGTCAGACCAGTAAGAAAGTTAAAATGAAGTTCAAACAGAACCTTTTTCCAGGCGATCCAAATCCGAATACTTTGTGTTTAGGTGGCTGTGATATGAACGTTCTGGAAACTTTAGACATCAATATTTCGTCGGTTAACCAAAGTGAGTATGCTATACATTGTAGTCACAAATAGTATAGAATTTAATGACACAGTGATTAGGTTTCAAGACATCAAACTCTTAGAAAATATGAGAAAAAATTTCAAATTCCATATGCTGCAAATACAAAGACACAAGAATTCATTTTCCCTGTGGGGGTGTACAGGCTTATCGATCAAAAAGATCTACCCCTATATTCATCTTATTTTTTCATCCAGAAAAAAAGGAAACAACATGCGGAAGTTAAATGCTGCAATGAAGCCTTTCCACAGCCATCATCAAAAGCGTGACAATACACAAATTATGTTTTTCATATTTTTTTTGGAATTTGTGATCACAGAGATATACAGTGGCATTCATAAAGTCGGCATCATATGGGAAAATGATAATAATAATAATTTATTTATGTTTAATAGCCTACTCGGAGGGAGTCACCTGACTTTCGCTACATGTCAAAAGTTCATATTAATCAAAACATGAGATGAGAGGCCAGACACACTAAACTTGAAAAGTACTCTACTCGAACTACTATTGGTCTATTGTTGTAATTGTCGAGTCTATTCTTGAAGGCGCTTATGGATGGCGTCATAACTATATCATCAGTGACAGGGTTCCATTCATAACAAATTGAAAAAAAAAACGGTGTTGTAGAGGTTCTGAATGTTTTCTTGGCGAGCCTCAGTATCGGCATCAGACTATTGCCACGAAGTCTTTTATCGACGTCAGGGGCAAGATATGGATCAGGTCCAAAGAAAAGGTGTTTCTGAAGACTCTGTAGCTTATTGAATGAGGTTTCCCCGTTTCTCTGCTTTCTTCTTTCTTTCAAGGTTGGCAAATTCAGTGCAGTGAGTCTATCATGGTATTCCATTTGGTAGAGTTGAGGTACCCAGTTTGTTAGTTTGCGTTGAACATTATCAAGTAATGTGATGTCTCTGACTAGAGGGCATAGTAAACTTTTATGAAATTGTGTCCGGAGATTGGGAATACTTTTTCAAAATGTAGGCAGATTTGTTGGCTCTTTTTAAAATCGACAATATGTTTTGTACATGTCAACGAATTGGCTATTGTCATACCGAGGTCTGTTTATGATTCCACTGATTGGATTTGTACGTTGCCAATATGATATCGACCAATATGCAGAACTGTAAATTTGGCAGGGCTAAGTGGGATTAACCAGTCGTTACACTAATCTTCCAAGAGTACCAAGTCGACATGCTGTAGATCCCCCAGAATTCTTTACCGTCATCTTTGTAGTCACAGTTGCGCCAGCAAAATCGCGTATTACCTCTTTGTAAACCAATGACGTCAGCAGAATGGTAAAGAAGCGAAAACTGATTATTATTTTTTTGAAGTTGAAAAAAAAAATAGATATTGTTAGCGACGATGTTCAAATCACCCCGTAATTGAGAAGAACGCCTAAGGAATGCCTTATCACAATCGACCTCGACGACTCATCGGTATTCGTAATCATCGTGTGATCGAAGATTGAAGCAGGTTTAGTCATTAGCATCGTAGCATCAGAACGAATCACTTGTCGATGTTGTATTTGTATAAACGGTCATCGTTGTACAAGCCGTCCTGAGTGAATAAAAATATGTTTGAGTGTTGAAATTGTGTCTATCTACGATGCCTTCATTTAGAATCTTATAATATACATACAGTGGTTCTTCATAAACTTCATGGAGAAATGAAATTCTGAATATAGGAAACTCCTCTATTGTCAACGTTAGAGGGCCTACTGCTGGACCCTGTTAATAGTAATTTTTTTCTAGGGCGCCCTGCCAATGTTTCTCAACAAACCCCAAATGTGCCTAATGGTCCCAATCGACAGAACGCCACAAATAACGACTATCCACCGAGAAATAATCGCGACAGTGGCTACAATGGAAGTGTTAACACCACTTTGTTGAACGCTTCGAGGAATTCTAGCCAATCTAACCCGAATCAATCTAGCCAGAACCAATCCAGAGGTGGTTTTTGGATAACCCCTGTCAACGGAACCAAGAGAACGACAAACATGATGCCCGGATCTTCCGGGAGTAGTAGTAACAGTAATAATAATTCTTCTGGAACGGCTGGTCCGCAAGGAGAAATCGTTTGCTCCTGTAATAATCAAGCTCGTATGCTTACAGTGAAGAAAGATGGGCCCAATAAAGGTAGGATATACAGGGTGATAATTTGAAAACAAGCAGCACTCAGTATCTCTTCAACTGATGACATTATACAAATTTGGCAAAACTTTTGAGATATTTGTTGTAACATTACATTTAACCTCTTCAAACACTTATATCTTTCCTCAAAAAGTACCCCAATATCCTGAATGAAACCTGGAGTGGTTTAGTTCTATAATTGAATAATTCAAAGTCATCTCCACAACATTTATTTGACGATCAGAGATCAATCACTTAGGGGTGCATGTTTCGGGCATATAAGCATATAAGCCCATCATCAGCCGAATGATGGGCTTATATAAGCCCGAAACATGAACCCCTATGTGATTGATCTCCGATCGTCAAATAAATGTTCTGGAGATGACTGTGGGTTTCTTAATTCAGAGTGGAATAATTCAGTTCTCAATTTACCTATTTTGCAACTCGAAATCATACCCATTCTTAACATCTACAATATCTTGAAGATTTGTTATAGTGGAGAAATTATCTACAAGTAGGTATGTCTGATATTTCATAGATACATCTGCTTACTGAGGTCTTCCTATAGATTTTTGGTAACAACAAATACAGTATAGTACGTATGCTCCGATTATATATTTTTAACAACTGGTACATATACTAGTATCCCTGGAATGCTGAACCGAAAATCCTTTGGAAAGTTTTCTTCAGCATTTTCGAATGGATTACTAGCGTCTATTAATATGTTTATTCACTTGTCTTAATCGGAATAAACGGCGAATCTATTACTCAATAATATCAACGAATATTCATATTGTCATGAGTAGAACATACGGTATATCAGTAATTTCGAACCATGATGGTTTTATTAACATAAAGTTAATCAAATCATCCGTTGACATTGAATTATAAAAACTGACCAAGGAACTCTCATGAGAAACGTGCATATCTAATAAAATGTTGAATATAAATATTGGATGTGAGGGTTCCGAAATTAGTCTGGTCTGGGGCTACTCTTGACTTGATAAGAGCTCGTCGTATGGTCGTTATAATGTAAGTTGTTATTAGGTCTTTATATTCATTGTTGTTTGTCATTGCTACCCATAATGTTTCTTGCTATAATACATATTGTTATCTCTGAATATAGTCTCATATACTTTCAGTTACCCCTAAACTATTAGTGCCTATTTGAATATTACCTCTCGCAAAATATTAAGCCAAGCATTACCCCTTATAAATCGATATGGATGGACTAACCATCTCTATTATATCGTGATCATCTATTATATTGTGACAATATTCATCTCGACTGAAACTATGTTCTGATGACAGTTTATCGTGTATTACCGATTGTCAAATCGATAGTAAATCCAATTCAAGAAATGTATTGATATGTCATTTATATGAGATATTGGCTATATTCGCGATTGCCAAGGTCATTAGGAGACGTTCTGATGGCATTCAAAACTACTGGAAAACAAGTCCAACTTCCAATCTATGAGGGGAATTAGGATATTTTTCCCTAGTTTTTAATGTCATCGCAACGTCATATAATGACCTTAGCTAGGGTCCCTTGATGCAAACTGACGTATTTGTCATCTAACAGGGTACGGACAGATCATAGCTCCTTTCTCTTTTAGTCATCTAGTGACTTTGGTCTCGTGTATTGGCGTACCTGACATGACATTGCTGTCACGTCACATTCATAGGCGTTAAAAGAGATCTTACAAGATTTAAAATTTCATACTTGATCTAAATACGACATTATTCAATTCTGTTTTGGAAGGTTTGTAAAATGTGCTGCGTTAGGCTGTATCAATCAGTTGGATGGCAAATTTGAATTTGTCAGCTTTCCATCAAATGCAAATAAACTTAGAACATGAGAAGTCAAGTGACCGAATGGGGAAAATTGGTAAATACATCAGCAAAATATTAGAGGTGAAACTAATACGAAATCACATATTAAACTTTCTCATTGTGCCTATGATTATCCACATCACAAGTTTCTGAATTCATTTTAGTAGAAACAGGTTTGATTAAAACGGAGGATTAAAAGAAGAGGCATATGCCCAACCATTTAAACAATTATACCTTCATTCAGGAAATATTAAGTGTGAAAAACTGCAAAAATGATTCCCAACATGAATATATACAGCACACATGACATATGAGCACATTAGTTCAAATACCTAAAATTTTTCATCATTCCTCAACCATAAGGCTTAGTCTGAAATCAAAATTCATTTATTGATAGGTACTGCCTAAGAACAGTCCCATTTGATAGAACATATTAAACTTTCAAAAAAATTTGCTCACTGCCTCACAAAGATTATGCTAGAGTTGAAAAATCAAAAGCTCGAAAATTATCATCATTTAGATATAATTTGTAGAGTTGAATGAGAAATTTCATAAAGAAATTACGTATGATACGCCAATGTCCTCAATATAACCTAAAAAACAACTAATGTCAGAAATCTAGTGTTTATCCCCAGGAATAAGTATAGATGGAACTATATAACTATTTCACAAACACTTTAGAGTGAGAGGAGACAAGGATCTGTCCGTACCCTGTTAAGATGACAAATACGTCAATTTACATCAAGGGACCCTAGACTCATCCATCGTTAAGTCTTTCCACTCTCAATTTCTAGGCAGGAATTTCTACAAATGCGCTGGCGAAATGTGCACGTTCTTCTGCTGGGCCCCCGAACCCGGCGGCACTTTTCCCAGCAACGACACCTCGCAGCGGAGCGACCAAGATAGTGAGGTGAGGTGCGAGTGTAGGCAACCCGCTGTGCAGAGGACAGTGGCCAAGGACGGGCCCAACAAGGGCAGGCGGTTCTACGTCTGCGCGAAGGGCATGAGAGACCAGTGCAAGTTCTTCAAGTGGGCGGACGAGGTGAGTAATCGTGGAATAGACATTATACAGGGTCAAAGATAGATAGATACATATTTATTCATCATTGAAGTTTACACATATAGTTACATATAAACTTATCAGACTAGTCAAGTTCCATTCTCTCTCCCCATTCACAAAACAAAACACTGTACATACATTTCCATTCAATCTCTCACACATACATAAATGTAAATAGAATAATTCGATCATCTCGAAGTTAGATACTCCTCAATGGAATAAAATGCATTTTGACATAAATAATTGAATATTATTGTTTTGAAAGTATTGAAATTTTTTATCTCACCAAAAATATTGTTGAAATGATTAAAACATAATATTCCTTGATATATTGGAGAGTTCTGTCCAACAGTAAGCCTTGAAAATGGTAAACGAAGGTCATTCTTATTTCGAGTATGGTGATGGCGAATTTCATTACTTTTGATGTACATATCCTGCTCTTTTTTTATATTCAATGTCAATAGATATATATATATAGAGATGGTAAAGTGAGAACTGACAGTGCTTTAAAGTAATCCTTACATGATACATTGTTTCGAATACCCATCATGCATCTTATGATTTTATTCTGTGCAATAAATACTTTGTTACTATGTGGTGAATTTCCCCAGAAGATCAAACCGTAACTTAGTGCCGACGATACTAGTCCATGGTATGCCATTCTGAAGAACATCGAAAGATACAGTGCCCTTCAGCTGTCTGATAATGAAATTGATACTGCTTAATTTTTTTACCAGATTTTCAATATGGTCTCTCCAACTCAACTTTTCATCAATTGTAACGCCAAGAAATTTTATACTTGAGACTTGTTCTATTGATTTATGATTTACTTTCACAAGAGGGCTCGCATTACAACTGATGTTTTTCCGCAGGAAAAGCATGAAATAGGTTTTTGAAATATTCATGATCAATCCATTATCAAGACACCATTTGAAGAATTCTTCTGCACATACATTACTTTGATGTATGGTTTCGACTAAATTATCATGAGATATTATGTGATTTGTATCGTCGGCATAAATAATGGTGTTTCGAGGCGAACTACACGATAAAATCATGTCATTTACAAATATGATGAAAAACAGCGGGCCAAGTATTGAACCTTGTGGTACACCCATGGAAACATCACTTGACTCTGATTTTAATGAATCTATAGTGACAATTTGGGTCCTATTAGATAAATAGGAAGCAACCCAGCTATTGGCTACTCCACGAATTCCAATTCGATTCAATTTTTGAATGAGAAGATCATGATTCACAGTATCGAAAGCTCTACTGAGATCGAAATATAAAGCAATTGGGTGTCCTTTATCGTTCAAGCTAGAATAAATAGCATCACATAATTCTTTCATAGCTGTCTCCCTAGATTTATTAGGCCGAAATCCATGTTGTGAGTTATTTAACAATTTATGGTTTTCCAAGAAGTTGCTAAGACGCTTATTGAAACAATAATCAATTATCTTAGCAAGCTGACTTTGCAGACAAACATTTCTGTAATTGTGGGTATCTTCCTTGGAACCCTTTTTCTTATATATTGGTACTGATTTCGATACTTTTAGTTTTTCTGGATATGTTCCTGTACAGAATGATCCATTAATTATATGACATAACGGAACAGATACTATATCACAGACAGCTTTCAAGGCCTTACCATTTATTTCATCGATTCCTGCAGCTGCATTTGAACATACTTTATTTATTGTTTCTTCTATCTCAAGTGGTGTTGTTGGAGTGATAAAAGGAAGGAAGGAATGCTCGAAGTCATCTCCACAAATTTCAATGATGTTACACAATCATAAGGGACATGTGTCGGTCTTATAAAAGACCATCTTCAGTCTAATTGAAAGTTCTACAATACATACAACCCATGTAACCCAGAGGTTATGAGTTCGAATCTCACACGGGGCGGTGGAGTTTTTTCATTTTCCATTGTCACTCGAAATTAGGGCTTTCATCTTTATCATCATATGTATCTTTTCGGCTGAGTAACCGACAAACATTACTTGCCTCCTATGTATTTCCTTCGGACATTTCCGTATACAAGGAAAGATAATGCCAGAGGACGAACGGGGAAATATGGAGACTATACAGCCAGCGATGCTTCGTATAGTGCATGATTTCGAGTGACTTCGGGAATTGAAAGGATTCTGCCGCCTGGTGTGTGATGAAAACTCGACCTCCCTGCCGATTGATCGACGGATGACCCGTTAGCTCAATTGGCAGAGCGTTGGGCATTTAACCGTTACCACCGATACAACAAGGCCAGCAGACTCTGACGTAAACAGCTCGTGACGTCACCAAGAGAGGCCAGTGTTTTATTTTATCGCTTGTCGACTAACGCGTCAGTTCGTGTTAATTCATCAGTGGTTCACGTATGTTTTTGAAACGGTCCCGAATTCTTTTGTTGTTTATTCATCAAAATAATTGGCGGAAAAATTACTGTTTTGTGAAATATTTTGTGTTCCCTTTTGTCGGGGGAATTATGTGGGTGGTTCAAAAGTTCATGCTTTTAGTTTCCCGTTGGACGAGGAGCTATCGAAAATGTGGGTATATGCAATTCACCGCGAGGATTTTACTCCATCTAAGTTCAGTAGTGAACAGAGCTTAATTTATAATGATGAATTAATAATAGAAGACAATTACTCTCTCATAAAAAGTATAAGTAGAGGAAAAATAGAAAAGCTTTGATTGTGCAGTTAGTTTTGTATTCGTATATTATAGTCAACAAAATCATCTCTGAATTCGAGGAAATTTTCTTGAATGTTCATATTAAACGGGCATTTTTAATTCTCATTCTCAAATTTCTTTCTGAAAACGGTCATTTGCCTCGTGGCAATGAATGCAGAATACATTCCAATGATCAAATTGCAACTATCATATTAACATGAACTACAACACTCTACTTAAAAAGGTAAAACTGCATTTATCATGATATTTATCATGAAGATATTTGACTAAAAAGTTCCAAATTTCACCTTCTTTTTCACCTGTCTTCTGGATGGCATTTCGAACAAATTTCCCTTCTTTTTTCATCATATTGGACAATTTATATATAATTCAACTATAAATATGATTTTCTTGAGATTAATCCATATTTAGTGAAAAGAAGGAAGAATATCATTCAAAATAATGGCGTGTGTAATGTCATTCGAAAGCAATCTATTGGCATTTGACATCTCGTATTTTGATTGACTATTGATTAAATGGTCGTCATCTGGAATGCTTGTTCACTAAATATGAAAAACTCGCCATAAAAATCATATTTCCTGTTGAATTTTCTATATAAAAAAATCGAAGTACATCATGAGTATATAAAGTGTCCAATGACAAAATAAGAGCAAGTAGCTTCAAATGCCTCCAACACAAGGGGAGAAAGAATGCGAAATTTCGAACTTTTTCTTGAAATATCTCAATAAATAGTGGTTTGTTCGCATTTTCATTATAAAATTCAGTTTATCAGACAAAAATACGTGAGCACGACTGGCATCCTTTTTTAACCGGAAGCCCTTCAAAAAACAGCAAAATTGGCTCAATGATGATCTAAAACTAAAATCGAAATACGCGGTCGCCTTATAGCAAGCGCTTGTCGTTTCGAGCCGCTGGTTAAGCCTCACTAAGTGACATCACCCACGGAGCATGCAGGCCTCGTTGTATCGGTGGTAACGATGTAACCCAGAGGTTATGAGTTCGACTCTCTCACGGGGCGGTGGAGTGTTTTCATTTTCCATTGTCACTCGAAATTAGGGATTTCCATCTTTATTATTATATTCTATTTTTCACAGGACGTTGGAGGCGGCGGGGGTGGAGGTGGTGGAGACGACAGATGGGGCGGAGGAGGAGGAGGAGCGGGCGGTTATTCCGGAGGGAATAATTCGAATTGGACGGGAGGAGGGCAGAGTAATAGAGGGAGGAATCAGAAAATGACGAGGGCAAAAAGAAAATGCGGAATTTGTGGAGAAGAAGGTAACTACTTAATACAGAATAATATCAACTGAATTTCCTCAAAAAATTAACGTACAACCAAAAAGTAACCAAAAGTTTGAGATACAAAACTAGTTGTCTGAATTGAATGATTTTTGTTTTGAATGATAGGTTATCTTCGTCTGTATCTCCTCTCCTGTATTCGTGTAAGAATCTCCTTTTCATAAATACCGGATGTAGCAATGTGTGTTTTTCATGAAATTTTTAATACCCTGTGGAGTGTAACAGTTACGTTATCAAGTTGAAATTGAAAGTAAACTTCTGCCTTATCTTTTTTCAACATTCCTTTCTTGTATTCACTCCATTATTTTATTTTCATTTTATTTATTGAACAAATAACTTCCAGACAGAATAGGCTATGGTATAAAGAAGTTCATAACTATATACCTATAGGTAAACATATCATCATTCAAAATATATCAACAACTGTAAATTGACAAACAAAGAATAATATTTGTAAAGAGAAATGGCATGATTAATTTTACCCAGATCGCTCAGAAATAATCAGTTTTTTTACTTCAGTTTTGAATGTGTCAGGTAGTTTATTAAATTCAGTGAGGGCTGAATGAGTGAATCTTTTTTGTCCGATTATGGAGCTAGCGGCGTCAAGATGAAACAAGTTATATTGTCTAGTTTCATGATTATGAATTTCAGAATTCCGTATCAAAATTATATTCGACTTCAATTTTTCATTATTATATGATATTTTGAGAGTTTCAATTCTATATATTTCATCTTAAGAATACGTATTTGTTATTTCATACTGGTTGATGTATCAAATGGGAGACGATACAATACTTTCAACGATTTTCTATATAATGTTGATACTACTCAGTATATGAGAGTAGAGGATCATGTTTGCGATTTTGATATCAAGTTTGGGACATCTTCTCAATGCACCAATAATTGGAGATATTTTTTTTGTCAGAACATCAATATGTTTGTCCCACTTCAACCTGTCATCAAACCAAATACCAAGATATTTTATCTGGTCAGTTTGTTTTAAGAATATATTTTTCATTTTAAGATTGAGGTAAATTTTTTGTTTATTTTTTTGGTGAAAAATCATATATTCTGTTTTGTTAGTATTTATCGATGAAAGGTTAGATTGGAGCCATTTTTCAAATATTTTCAAGTCTTCATTTATCATATTTTCTAAATTTGAAGGATTCTTGCCTTCATATAAAAGTACTGTATCATCTGCATACATGGTATATTTACTGGCTAGACCAATTTCACTGATATTTTGAACCTAAAGTAAATATAGTATATGTCCTAAAACAGAGCCTTGTGGGGCACCCTTCTTGATTAATAGTTTATTTGACATAGAGTTGGTTGATTTTGTATTGATTGTCCTATTTTCAAGATATGAATTCAAAATATTTCTCACAGTGCCTCTGAGTCCCATTGTTTCTTAGTTTTCTAAAAGTGTTGTATGATCCACTGTGTCAAGAGCCTTTTTGAGATCAATGAAAACAGCTACCACATAATTTCCTGAATTAAGTCCTCTCTGGATTGATTCTATCACCTGTAATACTACCTTTCCTATTTCTCCAGAAACACAATTTCATAGCATAATATGATTTTTTCTATTCTGCGTCTTATTATGACATCCAAATGCATATCGAAACAGCTTCTATTAGGACACGCTGAATTTTTTTTTCAAAGTTGGTAATGGTAACGTTAAACTATCACGGTCTATGTCTAAAGACAGAACACAACAAATAAATCAAGGTGCAGAACGATATTTCAATGAATGGTTCACATAATTATTGTATTTGATGAACGAAATAATCTATAATAATCATGTAATAATTTGGTTTTGCTTTGAATGATGCAATTGTTATAAACTTCAACTATAACATTAGAGGGTATCTCGAGCGTTTATTATCAAATTTGCTGGAAAATTTTGTTGGACTGCTGTTGACACAAAATTGTGCTCATTAGTATGATTATTCACTATTCAGAAGTTATTGTTTGTGACATGCGACTGTAAGGTAGTGGCATCAGAATATGCTGTAGATGTTGAAGGCTGAGAAGAAAAGATTTGAGGTACCTCAATTTTTCTCATCATGGAAGCTTCTATGTAACCTTCAGCAACGAGAATTTCCATTCTCCTTATAGTTACCAAATCACCGCCCCAATTTGCTAAATGGCCCACTAGAACGCCGAAAACAATGTCCTGTATAGCAGTTTTTGCACAAATTCCCTCAGTTCAGGAGGGGTGCATCTCTAAGTCTGCCTCTTCAGTCCTTCACAAAATAAAAAAATCAGATTTACAATAGACCATAAATTTCAAATCATATCCTTGGAATAATTATGTTTTGAATAATTTTTCTACCATCTGTCAAATTTGGCAATAAAGATTCAGATGTATTTTCATTGTTACCAACTATTATTACTTCCTGTTTTTGTTGATGAAATTTTTCCAAATAAAATAGTAAAAATAAATGCAAAATCAAAAAAAGCATATTATACACGTTTTATGAGACAAATATAGTCTTATAAAACTTGTATAATAAAATGAACTATTATTGAACTCAATTGGCATTATAAGCCCGAAAGTAGGTCTGGGAAGGTATTTCTTTGACCGGTCGTATGGAACTTGTGATCATAAGTAAATGGAAGCCTTACAACTGAAAGGTACATATTGGTGATATCAGGACCACATAATACTGCAAGGAGGAAATCTGTATCGCTACCATGGTATGGCCAGCTCGAAGCCCAGATTCGAATCCCATTGAGAATCTATGGGAAATTTTTGAGACAAGTTTACAATCGGAACGTAACTTGAGTACTTTGAAAAACGCACGGCAGAGACTGTATTCTCTTATTTTGGGTATAGGCCGTCTCTGCCAAGAAGTTATTCGTACCCGCGGCGGAAATACTCGCTACTGACCCTTTCTTTTATCTGTTGACCCTTTTTTTTACCTTTTGACTTCGCATTCTGTTTCGTTTTTTCCTTGTTCTATTTTGATAATAATTTTCCATACATTTATTTTACGCTATAAAATCTTGAAAAAAGACAGAGAAAACACGCGGTAATTGCTACACCCGGAATATATAAAAAATAGGTTTTTATGCGAATACAGTTTGCACGCCAATATTCAGAAGGAAATACCCTGTCATTCGAAACGAAAAACGTCCAAATCGGACAATTAGTTTTGACAATAATGTTTACCAAACTTTTGGCTAATTAATTTATTGGAGAAGTGTATTTTAGAAACAAGTTTTCCACTTCATCCGGAACGATTCAAAATTAAAGTACAGGGTCTTCAACAATGATTGAAAACCACGTGACAAATTACGGTGGAACCAAATGAGACGAGACTCTAAAGTTTACGAAGTATTCCCAAACCTCATTGCCAAATTATTCACAGTGTATCATGTGATACACTATGCACATTTGCTCGCAGGAAAACGTAGAATGGGGAAGCTTCCTTCGGATGAATTCATATCAAATTAGTTTACGCTGATTGGGATCTGCAATCTATGATGACAATTGAAATGATTCAACTCATTCCCATTTTGCACCTAGAAATCTCTGCTATTCATCACTAGCAGTACCAGTCAGACGAAGTCGACAGGCCCAGTCAGCACATCATTTCGTCGTCAACCTTGAAATATGTCGAACAACACTTAACCAAAACTCGTTCGTCTATAGAACAGCGAAGCTTTGGAATTCATTGCCAATAGAAAAATTCCCAAGAACTCATAACCTCCAATAGTTTCAAAAAATCCAAAACCCACCTCCTGTTCCTATCCTCTTTAGGTACGCACTATATTCTTCGAACATTATAGGAATTTCCTTTCGTGCGATCCAAGAAAAAAAATTGATACATATTTTGGCAGAAAACGATGATGTGAAGTGTGAGTCTAATGTGAACATGGGTATAATAAGTTTGGCTGTGAGGTGCGAATCTCCGAACAAGCCCGAACTGTAAACGAAGGAAAAAATCAACGTTCCACTTTTTTAGAAGGGTAACTCATGGTATGATTACGAATATATCCTGAAAAATGAATGGATTGAAAAAAAAATTAAAAAGAAATAACCGCCTATTGCAGTATTACAATTCTGACGAACTAATTGGTTTATAAGGATAAAATTCAACTTGATTCACGTCAACTAGATCACAACTGGACAGTGAATTAAGATGAAAGTAAAACACGGTAAATAATAATAAACAATGGAAACATAACTTGAATAAATTCGCAGCTATCAGCATATAGTTTGGCGAAAGATTTTGGGCGCGATTGCCAGGTCTGCTAAATATACAGTGTGGTCATTTAAGTGTGCAACATATGGAAATCTTTTCAATGGATTGCACGACCAAAATACTGATAGTGTCAAAAGTTGGTGCATGTTCGGTAATCATTTTAGGTGCACTCAGAATGATTGCAAGTCACACAGCATACAGGGTAAGTCAGAAAATATAAAAATTGCTTCAGAGTAAAGTACCCTTATTTCAGAAAATTCAGCACAATGTTATTTAGAAAAGTTGATTACATTTGAAAGTTATGAATAAATACCAAAACATGGCATCCTAAGATCATTTATAGTTTTTCAATTTTGTTCGTGAATAATTTTCCAATCTGTATTTTTTTTATATTCACCCTGGATACTTTCATAAGTTAATCATAACAAAATCAGTTGAGCATACCTTCGTTCAAATTCAAGCATATTTGTGCAATCAACTTAGATTTTAATTTTTTTAGGGAATCACAAAGTTTATGTTTGTTGCAACGATATTCAGCTTAACTTTGAAATTTCGCAAACCATATTTTTAACAAGGTAAACCATCATTAATGATGATATGCATATTCAAAAACTTCCATTCAATGTGCACATTTTGTATTTGAAATATTAAAAATTGGGAAATTATCAACGAACAAAAATGAAAAACTAAAAATGTCTTAGGGGGCCATGTTTTGGCATTTAGGCATAACTTTGAATTGTAAACAAGTTTTTCCCATAACATTTTGCTGAATTTTCTGAAATAAGAGTACTATACACTTGAGCAATTTTCTATATTTTTTTACCTACCCTGTGTGACTTGCAATCATTCTAACTGCACCTAAATCGATTACCGAACATGCACCAACTTTTGGCACTATCTGTATTTTTGTTGTGCAATTCATTAAAAAGATTCCCATATGTTGCACACTCAAATGACCACACTGTATAGAGAACAAATCTTAGATTTTGAAAAGATCCGAAGATTTTGAGAAGATCTTAGATTTTTTCTCCATATCTAGCAGACAATGGCCAGGTATAATTTACTAATATCTTGGATGAAAATGAAAATCCACTCTGGATCCCTTCAAGTTAGAACTTTATTTCGATTCTATTCTAGATATTATTGAAATAAAAGTATGAATTTGTTTCCACTGAGTGGAATCCATTAGTTAACCTTTTAATATTATTATTATTATTTTTATGTGTTCATGTATCCCAATTATAAACAGATATGGTTCTTGGGGAAATAAAAACAATTGATCAATCAATCAATATCTATCTAAACTGCTCAACATTGATAACGTCGTGCTCCAAAATATAGCCTGAATTCAAAGTAGAATAACTCACGAATTTCCTCACCAATTTTGAAATCGGTTTTCACCGATGATTAGCCTAATCTCTTGACAGTTTGTTGTGGCAATATGAAACTTCTGTAATTTCAGATAACATTGCTACAGGGTGATAATTGAATGGGTGTAAAATTGCATCGTGGTCGTCACCTTACCGTTTGAACAGATAATTTTTTCAATTTTTTTTTTCCACTTGTATTGATGCTTTCTCTCGAAACGTTTCCGGAATTTTCGAATTCAGAGCTTTGATAATCGTGTTATGAATATTCATTCAAAATTATGCATTTTTGCGACGATTAATTGAATGAAATTGAAAGTTGGAATTCTTCTCCGAAGAATCAACGTTGTATGTATAGTCGTCGGAGATGTGATTGTGTTCGAACACAGAAAATTCTGAAAAAGTCTATACAAAGTGATACAAGAAATACTGAATGATGGAATGGAGCATATCGTAGTCTTCAGTAGATGAAACATAATTTTCTCTGTGTAACTAGTGGAATAATGGAGTATTACTTCGTCATGAGGATATCTGGTGTCTGACCTCGAAATGGTTTTGTAATTTCTTGGATCGAAGGTGATATAATGAAAGTACGCATTTTCAATCGAAATGATGCATTTTCGTTAAGATAAATTATAAAATTCGAAAAATTACGATTGTAGTTCCAGAAGTATGAAATTCATATATTCGTCAAATCTATAGCATCAGGTGAGATATAATAAATTCCTTATGAATCACCCTGTGAAAAAGATGATGCAGAACTGAGCATTCAAGAGTTATTCTATCTCCATTCAACTTCATACTGAGTGATAATGAGGAAAGTTTCCTTCTGAAGACCATGTTGTAGGTGCTAGATCAGTATAAGATGCAATGGTAACAAGTTTGCACGAATATATGGCAATTCTGAAGTATCTCTTTCATATTACCTCGTATAAGCCTCATGAGGACTTACTGTATTAATCTTCATTAGTATGAAAACATTTAATCCAATCTGTGGCAATTCTGCAGCCTCTTTCATATTTCCTTGTATAAACCTCATGAAAAGTTACTACTATATTTATTCATTTCATAATTTTCGACAATGACCGACATTATATTTGTTTTTCTACATTCATGCAAAAAGCAGAACTTTATTGAACTATATTTAGTGGAAAAAGAAGTTCTTTATTGCACTTAGTGCAATAAAGTTTTTATTGCACTCATCTGTCTTTCTACTTCAACGTGCTGTCATCATGGCAAACATTTTTTATATTGCAACTGTGGTTATAGAAACGTCACTCAAAAATTAATTCTGACAATCAACAGAATTGTACCTAGTGCCACACCACAAATCATTTTTTGCATTTTGCATGAACGTAGAAAAAATTTTGTATGCAACTCGTGCAAAAATTGTTTATTGCACTCGACGTGTTGTCCGACGAGGCCGTCAGGCCATTATATTTGTTTTTCTACATTCATGCAAAAAGCAGAACTTTATTGAACTATATTTAGTGGAAAAGAAGTTCTTTATTGCACTTAGTGCAATAAAGTTTTTATTGCACTCATCAATCTTTCTACTTCAACGTGCTGTCATCATGGCAAACATTTTTTATATTGCAACTGTGGTTATAGAAACGTCACTCAAAAATTAATTCTGACAATCAACAGAATTGTACCTAGTGCCGCACCACAATAAATCATTTTTTGCATTTTGCATGAACGTAGAAAAAATTTTGTATGCAACTCGTGCAAAAATTATTTATTGCACTTGTTGCATAAATAACTATTTTCGGAACATAGCGATTTTTATCACGATCAAACATATTCTTCTTCATCCCAGGACAATCTGGACATATTTTTTATCGCACCTTGTATATCCATCATCAAGAATAAATTAATATGAATTTCATACTTCTGGAACTACAATCGTAATTTTTTGAATTTTATAAATTATCTTAACGAAAATACATCATTTTGATTAAAAATGCGTACTTTCACTATATGACTTTCAATCCAAGAAATTACAAAACCATTTCGAGGCCAGACACCAGACATCCTCATGATGAAGTAATACTCCATTATTCCACTAGTAACACAGAGAAAATTATGGTTCATCTACTGAAGACTACGTTATTCTCCATTCTATCATTCAGTATTTCTTGTACCACTTTGTATAGACTTTTTCAGAATTTTCTGTGTTAGAACACGATCACATATCCGACGACTATACATACAACGTTGATTCTTCGGAGAAGAATTCCAACTTACAATTTCATTCAATTAATCGTCGCAAAAATGCATCATTTTGAATGAATATTCATAACACGATTATCAAAGCTCTGAATTCGAAAATTCCGTAAACGTTTCGAGAGAAAGCATCAATCAAGAGGATACAGGTGAGAAAAACAAATTAAAAAATTATCTATTCAAACGGTAAGGTGGCGACCACGATGCAATTTTACACCCATTTAAGGAAGTTTCATATTTCCACAACAAACTGTCAAGAGATTAGGCTAATCATCGGTAAAAACCGATTTCAAATTGGTGAGGAAATTCGTGAGTTATTCTACTTTGAATTCAGGCTATATTCTGGAGCACGACGTTATCAATGTTGATCAGTTTAGTTTCATCTTGATCAATCATTTCATCAGGCATCTATAAATAATTTGGTTCTTACTTTTTCGACTAACGAGAAATTTAAATTTCAAATATCATTCCATATGAAGTAGCCAATATTAAAATAAAGTGTCAATGCAGGTACATATATACATAATTTCTTAATACCCAAACATATAGGTAAATGGAAACGGCAGCGTCGCAGTCGCGCTAGCAAAATGACGTATTAGCTCTGTGTGAACATGGCAGTTCACCAATGACGTCAGCAGAATGGTGAAGGAGCCGAAACTATTTCTTTGAATTTATTTTCTGAAGTGAATTCTCAGGATATTGAGATAATAGAAAATACGTATATAATGATTTTTCATGAACTTCAACGGAGATATAAAAATCTCAATGTAGGAAACTTCCCCGTAATTAACAACAGACAACAGGACTCTCCGGGCCCGGAAAAAAGGAATAAAATACACGAACGCCTGAATCGGTACACCAATCACAGTGGACTGACGCCATGCTATTATTGGACCACCATAAAACTCCCTGACCAATCTCAGCCTCCACAATTTTATTACAAAAAATAATAAATAACGATTTAGACCCTTATTTTTACCAAGAGTACATTCGTATCTTTTCAGCATGTGTTGAAACGTGATGCCGCATTAAAAACGGTCACGTGTGGCACTTAATCATTGTTGAAGACCAGTTATAGAGATGGAATGTTCATAGAAAAGAACACTGATAGTTGAAAATTATTGACTGCATGATCACTTGTTAATAAATTGCCCAATTCATCAAAGTTTCATAAGGCTTCTAACTTGTCAATTTTTTTTACAGGTCATATTAGAACCAAGTGCCCAAATAATAATTGATGAATACCTGTAAGTTTATTGAGGCGAACACAACAAAGAAAATAATTTCTATTTTCATGTTGAAAATTGGAATAAATTAGTTCCCGAAACTTTCTCGTCTTCAAACATTTTTGAAACAATGTGTCATTCACTATTTCTTGTCCTTACTACATAAATTAAACCTATTTTTTTTATCCAAACGAGAAGAGGAAAACACGAAGAATCTAGAGAAATGAAAAATAATTGATGAGTTAGTTTTTAAATATAATATAGTTAGAATATCATGTACATATCCAAAAAAATTAAACTAGTTTTTCACTTTTAACTATTTTAAACCATTCCTAGTGATCACTAGGGTACCCAGATGGATTTGACGTGTTTGTATGATATTTATTATATTGTTTGTTATTGTTGTCTGTTTTCTAGTTTGTCAAAAAAGTAGTTTTTCCGTATTCTCAAAATGAAAAAAAAAAACAATATTATAATTCTGAGCAAGGAAAATACAAACGGTGTTATGTAAGACCAAGTAAAAGACGGTAAAATGTAAAATTATGTTTCTTTCTTCTATTACCGATTGCTCCGAGCCTAGATAGTGGTTAGACAGAGAAACAGCAATGTAAGAGTGAAACACAATAGGCGAGCGACTAATTTTTTTATTTCTTAAATAGAATCATCACTCAAATACCTTTCAATTCCATATTTTTTTAGAATTATTCAGTCGGTTTTCAGGTGCTGAAATCATAAATAATGCCACGGTAATTTTTCAAACGGCTAGAAATTTACCGCCAGTAAAAACTGACACCACGATTTCGCAAGTAGGAGCAGACCATAGCAGTGGCGGCTGCTCAGAGGAGGCAACGGAGGCTGAGCCTCCTCAGAGATTTTCCTTAAACTGATATTATCTATACTTTCTCATCAAAAAGACACAGAAATACATGGATTTTGATTTTATTTCCTGTCTTTAGGTAAATATTTTTGAATTGGCAACAGTGCTTGCCCACGCATCAAACATTGAAGTTTGCAAATCACGCGTGAAATATTCAACTTGGCAACATCTATAGGAGGCTAGACTCCTGCGCAAACCACGCGCGCAATGCAAATGCCCGAATAGCACGTGTTTGTCGTGTCGCGTATTGCGGACAATCCAGTGCGAGTGCATTGTTTATGTTTATGTTAGGTTAATGGTTAGGGGCTCTATGAATTTCTGAAAAATGAGTGTTTTAAACGATTGCGATTTAGTGGAATACTTTTTGGTGAACCCATTCAGTGCTTTGTCTTATGAAGATAAATTGATTGTGAAAAACAAACGTCCGACACCGGAATTAAAAAATCTGATTGTAACAGGTAGCAAACAAAATCGTTCGTTCAATTCTGATAATTATGAAAAATATATCTGGTTGACGGGATCTGAGGTAAGGAATAAGATATTTTGTTGGTACTGCGTATTATTTTCAACCGATAAGTCGATGACAGTGACGACTTCAACTCAATTTAACGACAATACGTAAACGTTATTTTTCGTACCTTAACGTCTACGTGGAGGTCTACGTACAGTGATTACTTCAACTCTCTAGTATCACTTTCCCCACTTAGGAAAATACTATTTCAAAACATCAGGAAAGCTGGTTTTTGCTAGTCCTGAAATGTAGTGGAAAATAATGATATATTGTTCATTTAATGCATTATTATTTATTAATCATAAAACAATCAATATTATAATATATTATGAGGAATGTAAATAACAAATAACAGTAAAATATAACAATATTTACATAATATAGTATAATCAAATAAAAACTGTTGTAACTTGCTGGAATTACTAATCTTTATTTGTAATAATGATCACTATCAAGATCCGACCAGAATTGTTTTTATTTGATCATACAACAATGATGAAATATGACATGAAATAAATAATTTGTTGGAGATAAAATAGATTGCAGCTATTGTAAAAACATCGTGTGGTTTACAAGTTTCCTCATTTTACAGTATTTTTGTAGAGAGTTTTCTGAAAACTGCCAAACACATTCACATTCAATCTCGTAAAATTGTGAAATACTGTACATTTTATTTTTAGGTATATGGTAAATCAGAAAGTACAAGTTTTTTGTGAATAAACGGTACATAACTGTCATATCCATGTAACTTGATCGTACCGATAGCTCATAACATGAAAAATTATGTGATCTAATCTTTGGTATAGACAAATCAGACAATAGTTTTTTGTTTTACTAGGCAGGGAAGTAGTTGATTGACTGCCACGGCTGATAGGAATTCAGCCAAGGCAATGAATCTACATTTACTGCCCTGTGAATCATATAATTTTTTCTCCAAATGTTATAGAACCAATCTTGTGTAATTTTTTTTTGAAACTCCATCATTCTGGCAGATAAAGTACACTTTTCCTGCCTGTTAAGTGTCAGAGTAAAGCCACTTTCTATGCTGCTTGGAGAAAATAGTTATTTTCTGCAACCGACACAAAAGTCGTCCATTTTGATACCAAAATTAGCTCTTAAATTGACGTTTCTATTACTGACACAAAAATAGGTATGTTGCTAGGCAACATATTTAGTTCCTAGGAGCTAAAGTTGAACTTTAGCTCCTAGGAACTAAAAAGGATGTACTGGACGTCATCAAGAATAAACATCATTGTGACGGTTGGTTATTTGGGTTGAGACGCATAACTGATTTGTTTCCGATTTCAGCAGATTTGGCATTTCATACCCATGCTGGAGATATAAATACACCTTATTATAGTTTAGTATTGGAATTATAAACATCTCAGTTAAGTATTTTTGTTTTGATCAGGGAAGCCTTTAAGATTCAAATACTTGCTTGATCTGTATTTCATCCGTTATTCTCGGGATGGATAAGTTGTTTTTGAATAATCACGGCAAGCAATAGTTTTTTTGTCTCAAACAACGATATTGTTTAGCTTCATTTGATTATCGAGTCAAACAAAGTGTAGTATGGAGAGGAATAAATAATCACTATTATCATTGTTGATATATGCTCACTAACCTAACATTTTCCACGTCTTGTTCCTATAGCTGGCACTGGCGCGGTATTTGCCATTAGAGCACCTGGTCCATACACAAATATGTCACTCTGTGGTTGTATTTATATTGAAACTACAATTCGAACATCCTTGAAAACCTAACCTGCTGTTAATGCAGGTATAGAATATTCTCACCACACGGATTATTTGTCAATATTTGTTGCATTGCATACATATGGCACCAGGGGCGGCGAGTGCATGGGGGCATCGGGGCCAATGCACCCATGTAGGCAGTGGGTATGGGTGCAATGCACCCATTGGCCGAAACAGACGTATAAAAAACAAATTAGATACGGGCGCAATGAGCACTTGTAAATATGGCACATTGTTGCTGGACAAGTATAGGTAAACAACCATGCGAACCGTATATTCGATTCATGTGCATCCAGGGTTTGACACTGTGCACTGTGCAGATATTCCGATTTAAATTTTAGACATTATGACATCACAGGTTACAAGTGCCAGTTTGGAAAAAAATAGAAGTGGCTAATGAATCCATTGATAATACAGTCAGTAGGAATACCTTTGCAATAAATTAACTGGGGTTACTTGCTAATTTTTTCGAATCCCGAAGTTTCTCTATTCCATTTTTTGAGATATGAGAATTATTAAATCTCATTTTATTTTTGTAGAGATTGAATTTTCTAATATCGTTTTAAATTTTGAGTTATGTTCACTTTTTTCAATGGTGAAAAAAAAATTCTTCTATTTCTCATCGTTGTTCATATTAATATATCAACCATAAACTCGAAACCCGATTAGTCACAAAATATTATATATATATTGGTAGAGGTGTTTCACACTTGATGCAAAATAAATAATGCTTTGATCTATCTTGAAATTTGATGGCATTTGACCTTGAACCATGAAAAATTTTCGCCTGCGGCGCATAATTTTGTCTTACCCTGACCCCTCAATTTTGGCACCCATTGGACAAAACAAAACTCGCCGCCCCTGTATGGCACGGCATTGGTGGTTACTTCACATGTTCATTTGAGTTAATTGCTTCGGTTGCAGAAAAACTAGCATGTTTCATTCGGATCAAAAGTGACTTTGTTCGACTCGCAAATTTTGCTTTCGCTCGGCTTCGCTAAACGCTCCGCCTCGCAAATGCAAAATTCGCTTGTCAAACAAAGTGTCACTTTTGATCCTAATAAAACAATCTACTATTTGTTTCACTAGGCAGCAAAGTATTAGATGGACTGTCACGGCTGATACTTCATAGCCGAGCATAGACAGTTACTCAATTTATGCAGAGAAACTACACATATCCTGCCTGTAGGGTGTCAGAGAAAAGCAACTTATTTCTAGCAGCTTGGAGAAAAATACGTTTTCGAGTTTCAATGAGGCTAAAATTGAAATATTCTTCTAAAACCTACATAGTGTGTGATTGCATTATTTTAGCTCTGTGTCACATGTAAATGAGATGGCTTGTATGACATTTTCTTCAGTTTCATTTGGCCTCTATTAACAATACAAAGATGAGATATCTTCCTCTGATGTAAATCTGCCCAATTATTTGTTGAGATAGGACACGAAACTATTTCTGCAAATTTCTGAAAAAATAGGGCAATCCAGCAAAATTCGGGGAACTTTGACATTGTACATCCCAAGCCCTAGTAACGCCAATTGGTAAGACTGAAAATGATAATGCAATTAGGTACCTATTAGCAAATAGCAATTTTTGTTCTTTCAATATTACGTTCAAGTAGGAAGGCGCTGAACAGCCAAAACGCGAAAATATTTTCCTTCAAAATTATAATTGGCCATATTTCGCTTCTAGAAAGGATCAGATATCTTGTGCAATAATTTCACTATCAACTTCAATTATACTTACTATGAAAACCAAAGATTCCTAGCAGTTGTTCTTGCTCTTATTTTCGATAATTAACAGTTTTTGATATGATAGAAATACAATTATTTAAGACAGTAGCCCGATTTTATTCACGTATGTCATTTGACCCCCCTGTTGCCTCAGAATAGGAATATTTAGTCCTTCTCAATATGGTCATTTGCAAAATTATTCGGATATTTAAACTAACTGCAAGATGAATTTCACACTTGAGGCTCCTCAATACCAAAAACCTTCAATGAGGAAAGGACAAATGTGCACCACACGAAACAATGTGACGTCATGGTCACAGCAAGTATGAGAATATCAGTGATTTTGAACTTATCAACCATTCTAGATTCAGAATCAGCTTATGCACATTTGTGTATTGGTAGTGAAAAGTGATTAGTTCCACTATAAATTGTTTTTTTCACCACTAGCTATAGAACCTACTATTATTTACCCCTTTTTGAAGGCATAAAGTTTTTTTTACTACCAAGGTAGTTGTCATCATTTTATGAACCACAAGTCAATAAAGACATAGCTGGTATAATCGACTGGAATTCACAGTTGTGATATTCACAAGAATGGCACTAGAATATAGTAGGTATTTATCAATAACTACTTGTCATATGATGTCATGGTGACTAGATTTCAGTTTCACAGAACATTATAGTTCTGTGAAATACACTCAGTTCCAAAAAGTGACGCACTTGATATTTGACCTATCTTCTTAAAAAAATGCCGATTTTAATTTTTTTTCAATTTGTTGGTAGGTAATGCATTTGTCTTAGAAAAAAAAAAATAAAGAAGTGAAAATTTTTTCAAAGCCTCCTTGATGGTGGTGGAATAACTCAAACCATGATTTATTCTTAATTTTTGACTCACCCTGTGTGTTAATTGAGTAATGGTATCCGAAGTGCTTACACCCTATACGAAAGAGGCTTGCGTGCATTTTGTTTTTTTATTCATTGATTTATCTCTAAAATTTTCCGAATTACAGCTTTTTTGCTGATACCTTACGCTTATCCCACAAATTAAATTTATTGAAGGATCAGAGTACTCAAAATTGATTGGGTTGTACCCTGGTAGGATCACATTGTCTTTAAAAAAACAAATGCCTTTGCCATAGCAACTAATTTGTTGTATGCCTCCATATTTGACCATTTGGCGTTGTGTCATTAATTAAGTGTCTTGTTTTATTGACTAAAATTACATAAAATGCCTCAAATAAATCCTGAACAAGTAGCAAGAATAGTTGCGTTAGTAAACGATGGGCGTAGTACACGTTGCGCCGCTCGTGCAGTGGGATTCAGGAAGCAACTGCTCGTAGAGCGATCCGCAAGTACGAACGAATAGGAAGCACCGCTCGGAGGGTCGGTTCTGGTCGCCCCCGGAGAACTTTTCCAAGAGATGATCGCTTCTTGAGATTGCGGATTTTACGGAATCGATCCAATACTGCGGTAAATGTTCAGCAAGATCTTCGCCAAATTCGTGATGTTGCAGTAAGTAAGCAGACGGTATGTAGCCGTCAAAAAGAAGTTAATTTAAAAGCTAGGAGACCTGCAAAAGGTCCCAAATTATTGCCCGAACATCGTGCTGCTAGAAGAAATTTTGTTGAAAATTATGGACAGTGGAATATTCCTGAATGGTCGAATGTCTTGTTTACGGATGAGTCGAGGTTTTGCTTTAACATGGTGGATGGAAGAAAAAGAGTGTGGAGAGGAACTGGTGAACGGTTCAATCAAAATTTATTAACATAATGCGAAAGTTTTAATGGTGGGTCCGTTATGGTGTGGGGAGAGATCTCAATGAATGGAAAGACACCCCTTCATGTTTTTCCGGTGAGGCAGTCGATGAATGCCCAAATTTACATTCACATTTTAGAGCAGTATGTCTTACCTCATGCAGAGTTAGTGGGCAATAATTTTATATTGATGCAGGATAATGCCCGACCACACACCGCAGCAATAGTGTGAAACTTCTTAGAAGCTACTGGTATTACCACATTACAATGGCCTGCGAGAAGCCCCGATATGAATCCTATAGAACATTTGTGGGATGAATTAGGGAGTAGGGTACGTTCTCGCCAGAGGTCTCCGGAAAGTCTCGCAGAAATGGCAGATGCATTAGTGGAAGAATGGGATCGTATACCAATGGAAACGATAAGCAACTTAATTTCTAGTATGCCACGTAGATAAGAAGTTCTTAGAGTTTCTAGAGGAGGCAATACAGGGTATTAAGCAGTCATTCCAATTTATAATTTTGTGTTTAATGAAAACGTTTTTTAAAATTATTGGTATCAGTTTAGTTCATTAGGAAATTGTTTCTCAATAAATTCAGAAAGTTGGTAATCTGCAAGAATTCAGCAAAAAAAGCTGTAATTCGGAAAATTTTAGAGATAAATCAATGAATAAAAAAATTAAATGCTCCCAAAAGAAGCCCCTTTCATATAGGGTGCAAGCACTTTCTATGCCATTACTCAATTAACACACAGGGTGAGTCAAAAATTAAGAATAAATCATGGTTCAAGTTATTCCACCACCATCAAGAAGGCTTTGAAAAAATGTTCACCTCTTCATTTTTTTTAAAGACAAATGCATTACCTACCAACAAATAAAAAAAAATCGGCCTACTATTTGTTTTTAAGAAGAAAGGGCAAATATCAAGTGCGTCACTTTTTTTGGAACTGAGTGTATATTGCTAGTGGTGAAAAAAATTTAAATGCACCTTGGTAGTAAAGAATATTAATACTGTTGGACCTTATACCCCTCAACTGCAGCCTCTGGATTAAATCTTGGTCCTTGGGTAATATTGATATTCATTACTACCTTGGTGAATAAATAACTATTTATCTTTCATCAGTAGCACACCATAATAATTAAGACTATGTATTAATATTATATAACTAATTGAAACAAAATGATCAAGTGCAATGTATGTACATTTGTATAGCAGTGTTATGAAGTTTGGACATTGAAATTTTTGAGATGGAGTTGAAAATGAAATAGATGAAATGAAGTAGAGGTAGAAGAAGAAAGCATGAAGGAATTTGTTCAATTTAAATATGCCTATCACAGCCTGTTACACTTCATATTTCTCAGTTATCACTCAATAAAAAGCAAAAATATACAATAAAATAGTCCTTCCTTCAGAAATATGCACTTCAATTATTTTGTTCTCTGTTTTCCTAGTTGAAATATTAACTCAAATTATATCAAAGAATACATATTTTGAATGTGTCTTGCAATTCTGGTCACTATTAATAAACAATCAATACAAATTTTCCCACTCATTGAATGCATTGTAACAATACTTTATCTGTGTGTTTTTCACTTTTTCTTAAATCCTAAATACAAGCCTAGGCATATGGCTATCAAAAAACAGGCACACACTATATATAATACGATTTTTTGCTGGAGGGTTCTCATCACCATTGAGTTTAGGATCCTCCCAGATCTGTTGAGTTCATCATCTGCTTCCCTTAACTAAACAAAAAATACCAGCCTGAGAGAAAATCAAAATAATCATAAATGATCATTTTAATGGAGAAAATAAACCATCACTTACTTCTGTTGTTTCATAATATAATATACAATAGACTGTAATTGTAAATGCATGTTTGTAAGTGATGAATAATATACAGGGCAATAAAAAAACCAGGAATCTGTCCCTCGGATGATTGAACACAACATTGTACAAAGTTGCTCAAAATGTTTTTTTTTCTGAGGAATATTGATCAGCCCAGTTATTTCCTGATATTGGGGAAACTTTACCACTCTGAAATATGCTTCAACTCATGGAATTTGAATGGTCTGTATACATGTCTCAGGTTCTTATTTAGTATAAATATGTGGAAGAAATGAAATAATGACCTTTTTAATATTGTCTGTTCCAGAAGAAACCTACTGAACCAATATCAATCCTCAACAATCTCAATATTGAAAAATAAGAAAAAAATTTCTGGAGCAACTGAGCTCCATTTTGAATTGGTTAGAAATCAGCAGTTTCTTTAGTCACCTGATGTAATGGACACCTTGTTATTGTTACTACTACTACCGAGACTACTACATTACTACTATTTCCCAGTTCAAATGAATGTCTATGGAATAGTCTGAAGCAGGATGTCTTAAGGTCATTCAGCCATTGTTTGTAGTTAGGAATATTTAAACAAGTGACTACAAAACTCTCAATTTGAAAAAAACCTTCAGGGAATGTATGTTACCTACAGAAAGTATTATCATATCTGTTCTAAAACCAATAGTAGCATCAGATGTTATCACAAGGGGGCCAACAGTAAATATGATTACCCCTAGGGCTGAGCTAGACTGCTACATTAATGTTACTGCTGATGCTATCCTAGTTTTCCACTTACCCTTGTTCTGGATCTCTGCATTGTTTCTCTTTGTTCTCCCAAATTCTTCAGTACTTGAGTACCAATTTCCTGGGTCTCTACTACAACTCTGTAACCTTCTTCTAGCTTATTACCTGTTCTTTCTAACCTCTCAGAATTATCTAGCAGTCTTTGTTTTTGATCCAAGGATATCCGAACATCACTCAACTCCTCAGCACTGTCATATAAAGCACCTTGTCTTGCTGATCTAGCTTTTATGTAGTCCACAGTTAACCTTTTTAGTTCTGCCCTATAGCAGTCTAGCCTTGTTCTACACCTTGGTTTTCGAGAGGGATCAACTTCCCTTGTCTCCAGTTCCATTTGTTCCAACTAGAATAATGATGATAAGGATGAGATAGACCAACATTGATTGGACATTTAATGAATAATCATGATAAATTTCTCACCAATTCCTGAGCTTCTTCCACATGTTTCTCAATATTTGAGATGAGCTGGCGACGATCTTCTAGAAGAAAAACAATGGAATGTCAGAAATGATTCACCCTCCAATAGATTGGCAAAGCAAAATCTTACTGGTAGTTGAGGATGTTAACTGCCCTACTTGAGCAGTTATGTCCGCGGTAAGGACCGAATATTGTTGTTCATAATTTTCGAAAAGCGAGACCATGTTCGATTTATTTCTATTTTCTCTATGACTAGTATGAGTACTAGGAGAGGAGATGAGTCAAAACTCAAAATCAAGATTACCAGAGACCACCATATCTAGAGTTTAAAATCCTTGAAATCCAACAACACGTACACTGGCTAAAACACCGTATGCGGCTAATAAAAAAAATTCATGTTCAGTCGTTACCAAGCACCAATAAATCGTTTTCAGTTATTTAGCATGATATAGAAGATATCTGAAATAATATCAGGAGTGTATAATCTCTGTTATAACAATTATACATTTTATGTTTTATAAATTATATAACTTAATTTAACGGGAACTATGAAATAGTCACTGTGATCGCCACTTTGCCTGATATTTATACAACCATCTCTACACATAACAAGTGGTTGAATGATCAACTCTAAGATAGAGGGCGGTAAACTCCTATTTTCTCCAATTGTTTTCTAATTTTGACAGTCGATCGAATGGTGTGGTTTTCTGATGAAAATAAAGTGAACATTTCCCGAAATATGGTCGGTTATCGGGAATCGGGAGTGAAAAGTGTTTCATTCATACATGCTGCATCAGCATCGAACATCGTTCAAACATGTAAGTCGATGATGACTGAAAAAATTGTTATCATTGTTTATTATTGAGTTGATTGTAAAGAATTTTGACAGCTGGAGGCCTTGAAATGATCGAAACGTATGTTTTTCATTTGTTTATTATCCCACCTTTTTGTATCCTTCGAATAATGCCAATTACTTGAGAATAATGTTGAAAATATTTGGTTGAAACAGCTACTTGAGTTTTTGAAATCAAATTCTCAATCAATAGCTCTTGCCGAGGCTCTTGCCTTCAGTCACAGAGTCACAGCTTTCTTCTTGACACCCACTCACTGCTGAACCTCTTGGCTCATGAATCTCCTGATAGTCCTGATAATGATGAGCAGTTCCTAGGTTATTCCTATTTCACGAGAAAGGATACTACCTAGTTTAATATACCATTGACTATGATTTACTGTTGAGAATGAGAATAGACTCTTTTGGCCAATTGGCTTTGACTTTTTGGGAGCTTACTTGTTGAAATCTCACCTTGAAATACCTATACTTGAATAAGTCATAAGGGCCTCGATTAGTCCTACTTAATAGTTCCTCATTTTTGCATCCATTTTTATAGGTAGGTGTAGGTCTCGGTGTAGGTATTGTCACAGATTAACAACTCTACTGTGGTATACCCTTTGAGTATTCACACTGTATGCCTTTATACCTATATCTGAGATCTCCATCCTCTTGCTTATCCCTTAGACGCCGTCACGGTACTTTTACGAGGGGGTTGATATCTTCCCGAGGGGTGAACCACCTTCGGAAAATTTGTATACCAGAATCCCTGGAATCATAGATCTACCGGGTGATCAAGATTCTGAATTCTGCACCACCCTGTATTTGTTTCAATTAAATGTCAGTAGATAGTTGATCAAAAGTTGAGATAGGGACATGTGAGCCGTTTTGACCAATTATGAATGGTTTAGACACAAAAAATTCTTGAACTTGGAAAATCTCGATTTCTCACACCCTATATCTCAGTAATTATAACTGCTAGACCCCAAGTATGATGGTTCGTTGAAATCAGCTCATCAGGGAGAATCTCAAAATGAAATAATATATAGGGTGTTCGATAAAAAAAGTTCAACTTCAGTGTTTCATGGTTTTTGGAGACACCCTGTATGTTTCGAAATAATTTTAAATGGTAGCCTATGTTGACATGCAACTTCCTAGAGGAGAAGAATTCCAAGAAGATAAGTGGTTAGCCTTCTAGAGACCGAGGCGTTACTGGTAGCCCACCCTGTATACCTAACCCATCTAGTGTCAACATCACATATCAAATATCGAATCAAAAATGATTATTATTGGATGCGGTTCATGGATGTTGAATTAGAAACTTACCTGAATATTTTTTGCAACTTTCGTAGTTGGATTGCAACATATAAGTTTTGTTTCCAAATAGAAGTTTCCCCACTAGACTTCATCCACATCTCCACATTACGTGGGTTATAATCGAGACCTGGAATGCCAAACACTGTGCTGCTCGGATCTAAAACTAAGTATCTATTTGAAATATGAATCGTGAGACGAACATGGAATGAAGAGTCTGCATATTGTTTTCAACATTCGTAACTGGAATGCGATATATTATCGTAATTTATTAGTTAATCAACTATCTCAATGAAAACGGGGCAGGCAGATAAGCAACAATTTTCTCTGCGATAGAAAACACTGTATATACCTAACCCATCTAACGTCTACCTCCTTTGCAGAGAGGGTTTATGAACGCAAAGTTGGTACTCTCCCCTCGTAAGGGTACCTGTCGTGTTTCCATAGAGACATAAAGGTGAATATCTGTCTATCTGTTTGCTTGAGAATCTGGAAAGGAATTCAATATATCGCCTTCCGTACGAATATAAGGATCAGAATTCTGAAAAGTATACTACGTTTCTGGCAAACCAAGCAAAATATCAATATGAAAATTTGATGGTATATACACATTGGCATGATCCGAACGTATACAATATTGTAATCGATGCTGCGTTGCCGCTTTTACTAGGAAGTAGCAGCAACTATGATTTTTCAAACGGAACACCCTGTATTCCATTGCATTTTTAGATTATCCCTGAATATCAGATTTCATCAATGTATCGCACTTGGAGTCTAGCAGGGGTGATTACAAAGATATAGGGTGTTCAAAATAGAGATTTTTCAATTTTAGGATATTTTTGTGTCGAAACTATTCATTATCGGTCAAAACGGCTTTCGTGTTCCTTTAATAACTATTGATCCACTATCCACTGACATTTAACTGGAAAAAATACAGGGTGATTTGAGATTCAGAATTCTGATCACATTGTATCTGTTCCAATTGAATGTTAGTAAATAGTGAATCAAAAATTAAGACAGGGACATGGAAGCCGTTTTGACACAAAAGAATTCTAAAATTGAGGAATCTCGATTTTGAACAATCTATATCTCTGTAATCATTACCGCTAGACCAAAAGAGTGATGCATTGATGAAATAAGATCCTCATGGAGAATATAAAAATGCAATACAGGGTGTTTCATTTGAAAATTCGAAGTTTCTGCTACTTCCTAGTAGAAGCGGCAACGCCGCATCGCCAAAAATATATTAGACGTGTATATCATATAAATTCATATATATAATCAAATTTTTAGATCCGTCTAATTAACGCTCATCGTCAAAACGGAAACTGGACGATGAAAAAAAAACCCTAAAATGTGATTCAAGCAAATTTCCAAATTTCAGGAATATAGCTAGACAAAAAAACGGGAAATGGGGTTATACCATGACTGTGTCAGTATATCACTCATAATAAAATAATGAAAATAACACTCACCAGTGTGAAAACAATATGAATTTGTATAAAATAGTCCACTTCTGCTACTTCATTGTTTGAAATTTTTTATTTTCCAAAATAGGAAACACCAAAACAACAAACGATCGCGATTATGTAATCACTGATTTGAATGAGAAACACAAAAACACGATACTATCACTCATTTTTCAGTGAACACTCTGTTTGAAATGATTATTAATTATTCCTTTCGCGTATTTTTCAATGCCTGTCACAAAATTCGACCTTACGTGATGACATCTAATATGAGACTATCTTGATTAACCACTGATCCCGAATGAATGACTGATGAGTTGAATCACGCTGATAACCGATTAATTTCCGAACAAATGATTCATCAATGACCGAGTCTATGACTGATGATGATAATGAAATTATACGGGGGGAAAATATATTCAGGGTGTTTGGTTCATCGACGTATATCTGGGTGGTATGTGATGTGATTCTGAAAATATTTGAACATATTTTCTGTTATACAAAGTGTTAAATTTTTAAAGAAATCATCGCTGCAATAAATACGAAGTTCTATGTTACAGAAACTCGTTTGCATAATTCTGGCAAGCCAAACAATTTTTCATCACATTTGTATCCCATTACTTGTTCAATATCTATGATAATCGTATCCAACTCTTGAAAAAGAAGAAATTACGATCAGATGAAATGTTCGACCAAACGGAGATATCTCAAAGTTGTATAATATTTTATATGGTTAAATATAATCGAAATGTTCTTACCTATCAGTCCCTTTCAGATATACGTCGGTGAATCAAACACCCTGTATAGTATACGAAATACCAGATAAAGAATTGAACACGGAGACTGGTAGATTTTTTTTAGAAAATCTCCCAAGATATGAAAGAATTCACCACAGGCTGAAAATATATATTTTACAAAAATCTCTCGTGATATGAAAGAATTCAACCGGACAGTATGTAGTGGAGAAATCGAAAGCTTCTCACATACAAGTCGAGAAACAATTCACCAAAAAAACCTAAAATGACATGCAGGCAAACAATTTTTGTTTAACAAAATATCACATTTGAGAATATACAGGGTGGGGCAGTGGCAACGAAACAGCGGATTAGCGGACAGAACCGGATTATATAAAAACGCTGAAACAATTCAACAACAACAAACACTTCCAATGCCTATCACAAAATTCAACCGTACGCGATATGAAATGCCTTGAAATCCTTGAAATACTTTGAAATTCCATGAAATGCCATGAAATTCCTTGAAATGCATTAAATGTAATCATTTAATAATGTGGCACTATGCCTTATGCCTGTCCTAGTTCCTCAAAGTATTTCAGAAAAGATTTTATTTCTGAATTTTTTTAGATTCCATAAATTTTTCGTTTATGCCAATTCTCACTTTTTTCTTGAAATTTCCGGAAACAAATCCAATTTTCGCAGCTTTTTCCATTATCTCTACCTCTGGCGGTGTATTTATCAAAATGGTCACATCTCGGTATATACATCATATTATTTATCATGGATTGTTGGAATAATATTTGATGGAAACTGCGATTTCTATCAAAAGCACTAATGAGAACTACCCTAAAGAATTTAAAGAAACTTCTTCTGACAGTTGTGACAACTATTCAAATCTGAACACCAGCCAATTGAGTTTTGGTCGATTT